GGGTTCAAAGCTACAGATGAGTTCACAGCCACTAACACAGCTCACAGCAGGTCTGAAATCCCCCTTTAGCTACGATTCTCCCCCCCTCTCTCTCCCCTTTCCACATCCTTACCCCTCCCCAAACCAATTTGAATAGGAAATGAAGTGTGGCTCTGTGGAGACAATGGTTTATTGTAAAGTTTGGGGTTTTTTTTTTTTTTGCTGTGACCCACAGTATAAAAAAAACCAAACAAAAAACCCCCCCAAAAAACAACAACAACAACAAAAAAAAAGCTGCCAAGACACATGTCAACATTCACAACTGCCAGGCTCCTCTGTAATGAAAAGCTATAAAGAACACCCAGGTGGGAAGCACAATACTACCAGCTAATTAAAGTAACCAATAATATTCCTCTCAGGAATGCAAGAGTGTGTTCTGCTCAGTGGGAGAAAAGCCACTTCTAAAGCCCATGAACTCAGCTTCCCTGGGGAGCAAACAAAAAAATACATTAAAAAAATTTAAAATAGAATAATAATAATAATAATAAAAGAAAGAGGAGGTGGTGAGAGGGGAGTCCTGCCCCTGGCCACCGCGCCGCAGAGCTCGCTGGGCACACAAAGCCCAACGTTGGGTGATCTGGAGGTTGGAGTCAACCCTGCCACCGACTCCTGACCTTGGGCAAGTAATTTTTCCCCGCTCGTAGATCTCCATCTGTACAATGGGGAGCAGCTCAGGAGGATCCAGCGAGCTGCTTTCACTGGGGAAGGGCTCAGGGAGCTCAGCTCCCACATTCTGGTGGCTCCAGTGAGCTGCTTTCACTGGGGAAGGGCTCAGGGAGCTCAGCTCCCACATTTTGGTGGATCCAGTGAGCTGCTTTCACTGGGGAAGGGCTCAGGGAGCTCAGCTCCCACATTTTGGTGGTTCCAGTGAGCTGCTTTCACTGGGGAAGGATCAGGGAAGCTCAGCTCCCACATTCTGGTGGTTTCAGGTTTTTGCCACGTCCAGGGATCACAGCACAACCCCCGGAGAGCTCGCTCCTGCCAACAGCCTTTATTAAACTGCAGCCACACAACCCTACCCAGGGAAAAGCCACAGCCATAAACATTGCCAAGGAATATATTCCTCGTGAAAAATGGGAGCTCCGAGTGACAGGGTTAATGATGTTTGAGCAGCCTCTCACCCCTCAGCTTCACATAGCCCAGCTTTAATGCACTGGCCTCCTTCCCCCACCCCCAAAAGGGACAGGAGAAGGAAGCAGTGGGGGGAACAGCGACCTCCAATGCCAGATATTTTCTACATCACTGAATTCCCAGAGCCAGAGGAATAAAGCAGAACACTCGGTATGCAGGAGAAACAGGCAGCAAAGGCAAAAAAAAAAAGGTCAAATCCATCCCCTGAGGAGGAGGAGGAGGAGAGGGGCTCATTTCACAGGGATGGAGAGAAGATGAACCTCCCCTGGCTCCTGCCCTTTTCTGCAGCATGAGGAGAGGTCTCCATGCCAACATGATCCCGCTGTTAACGCTGGACAATTCTTTTCCCCACTCACCGGCTATTTCTGAACAGCAGCACGAGGTTTGTCACAGCCCAGAGGAGGAAAAGGGCTATTTTTTTTTTTGTTCAGGAATCACACAGGATGGTGTATTCATCTCAGAGCACGTTATTTATCCTTTCTCTTGTGTACCCCAAACACGTTACATTCATCCCTCCTGTTTGTTACAGAATATATTTAGCCAAGGAATTATCACACCGGCGAGCACACCGTTCTCTGGCACGTGTTAACCTCCAAACACACCCTGTGACCCCCTCCCCACAGCAAAGCCCACCCCTCCAAGCCCACAGCTCCATCTCCCACCCCCACAGACACCAGCACATGAAGGCTGAGCTCAGCCAGTTCCTAAGCAGGAGAACCAGAAGTGAGGTTACACTGAGGAGTTTGTGTATATTTCTCCCCTGGAAAAATATAAATAAGCTTTAAAAGCAAATCCATCCCCCTACAAAGCTCATCTCATCTGTACTCCAAAGAGTTCTTTCCTACCAGGGAGCTCTGGATTCCTTTTCTTCAGAGAGTTCATTACCTTGGTTTTTACAGATGCAGCTCCTACCTCAATCAGAAATGAGTCAAACACCCCAAATCAAACCAATCAACCCCCTAAACATCGTCCCCTCCCCTGGGAAAACCCAGATGAACCACCTTAAAATTCAACACCTCCATCTGAACTCTCTCAAAACCACTCTGAGAGTCACCACACACAGGAACAGAAGGAAAGATGAAGGAATAGTGTTGATGAGACCCCCCCCCCCACACACACACACACCAGGGTCTGGGGTCCACGCTGCTGCGCTCGGAACAAGATGTAAAACCCTCAAGAGCACGAAGGGTTTGAGCGGCCGCGGCACGAGAGGAGCTGGAGCCTGAACTCTCTCAAAACCACTCTGAGAGTCACCACACACAGGAACAGAAGGAAAGATGAAGGAATAGTGTTGATGAGACCCCCCCCCCCACACACACACACACCAGGGTCTGGGGTCCACGCTGCTGCGCTCGGAACAAGATGTAAAACCCTCAAGAGCACGAAGGGTTTGAGCGGCCGCGGCATGAGAGGAGCTGGAGCACTGGCTTAAACTGGAGGTGCAAGGTGTGTCCTGGAGGCCAAGGCACCTTACCTTCTTGGAGAGCGAGGAGACATTCAACCCAAATCTTTGAGCCCTTTCCTTTAACTTATCCATGTTTACCTACAAAGATACAGGAAACAGTTTATATATCTATTTAAAATCACCATCAGGCAAGTTGCAGGGATAGAGACAAGGCTGACCATGGAAAAGTCTCCTGAACAGAATCCCAGACTGGTTTGGGTTGGAAAGGACCTTAAAGCTCATCCAGTCCCAACCCCCCTGCCAGCAGCAGGGACACCTTCCACTAGACCAGGTTGCTCAAAGCCTCATCCAGCCTGGCCGAGAACACTTCCAGGGAGGAGCAGCCACAGCTTCTCTGGACAACCTGGGACACTGTCTCACCACCCTCACAGTGAAGAACTTCTTCCTAATATCTCATCTAAACCTCCCCTCTTTCAGCTTAAACCCATTTCCCCTTGTTCTGTCATTAACTGCCCTTAGGAAAAGTCCCTCCCCAGCTTCCTGGAGCCCCTTCAGGTACTGGGAGGCCACTAGAAGGTCTCCCCGGAGCCTTCTCTTCTCCAGGCTGAACAGCCCCAACTCTCTCAGAGCGATCAGCTCTGGGGAAAACTCCTCCAGGCACTGAGCTGTGCTGACATCCAGCACCAACAGCTCCTGCCAGCACTGAGGGCCACCAGACAGAACCAGTGTCCCACAGGAAGCACCAGTCTGTCCCTTTGCTTCCTCAAACCAGCCAAAGGATGAAGACCCCGGTGCTGGTCCCTCTGCTGAAGGAGCGGCTGTTTCAGCCCGTTCCTGTGCACCCGGTGCCTTCCCTGGAGTTTCCTCAGCACCATGAAGAACACAAACAGCCTCTTGGACAAACGTGCCAGTCCTCCTGAAAATCATCACCATTATCTGATGAACCACTGCAGGTTTAAACAGCCTTTGCAGTACCTTCACCCTTCCCAAAAACCACAGGGTCACATCTGAGCAGGTCCCAGACCGAGCAGTTTCCCAACACACCGCCCAGCTTGAGGCATCAGCCACCATTCATAGAATCCCAGACAGGTTTGGGTTGGAAGGGACCTTAAAGCTCATCCAGTTCCAACCCCCCTGCCAGCAGCAGGGACACCTTCCACTAGACCAGGTTGCTCAAAGCCTCATCCAACCATTCTGGCACTTCTCCTGAAGGAACACAGACTTCCAGGGATGAGCTGCCCACAGGACACAGCTCTGCAGAGGAAACCCTGGTGCCGTCCTGCCTCGCAGATGCTCATGCCAGATCTTTACTCCCCTGGCACCAGAGAAACCTTGAACCTTGCCTGGTCACAGATGTGGACTCTGCTCATCCTCAATCGAGGACGCAAAGGCTGAGCTGGTTGCTCAGCACGACGGAGCTCTCGGCCCTGCACATGGTGGTGCCTCCTACTTAGACCTCAAGTCAGATGGGCAAAGCAGCACTGGCTGGTAAAAGCAGAGTCATTTACTACAGGTCATTTGGCATTTCCATTCCTGAAGCATAATTTAATCAAGAGCAAAGAATGAAAATCAGGCATATGAAAAAAATAGAAATAAATTTAAAAATCTATCAATCTTTGTTCCTTTCAGCATTTCATTCTAAAATAATCTGTCACAGAGGCAGCCAAACACCACCAAGGGACGAGCACCCATCGTGCTCAGACACCCAGCTGAGCTACAGCATCAATTCTTGCTCCACAGGCATCATTTTTGGGGCCATTTTTTGGTCCTTCAACCCTACAGACAGGAACCTCTTTGTACAAACCACAACACGCACGAAGGGTAACTCAAAAGCAAGAAGCGTTTCTTACCGTGGGTTTGCTGTCTGCAGAGAGGCCTGAAATGAGAAGGAAAAATAATAAAAAATTAGAATTAGAAAGAAAACAAACATCAGGAGGAGCATCTTGTCTAAAGGGAGGTGCAGGGAAGTCACAGCCTCACCCAGCACTGTCCCACCACAGCCTGGTGAAGAACCCCTGCCCCGTTCTCTCCAGCTTCTGCCCCTGCTCACTACAGAATGAGCCTCCCAATTTCATAGAATCCCAGACTGGTTTGGATTGGAAGGGACCTTCAAGCTCATCCAGTCCCAACCCCCCTGCCAGCAGCAGGGACACCTTCCACTAGACCAGGTTGCTCAAAGCCTCATCCAACCTGGCCACAAACACTTCCAGGGAGGAGCAGCCACAGCTTCTCTGGCCAACCTGGGACACTGGCTCACCACCCTCACAGTGAAGAACTTCTTCCTAATATCTCATCTAAGCCTCCCCTCTTTCAGCTTAAACCCATTTCCCCTTGTTTTGTCATTAACTGCCCTTAGGAAAAGTCCCTCCCCAGCTTCCTGGAGCCCCTTCAGGTACTGGGAGGCCACTAGAAGGTCTCCCTGGAGCCTTCTCTTCTCCAGGCTGAACAGCCCCAACTCTCTCAGCCTGTCCTCACAGCAGAGCTGCTCCAGCCCTCGCATCATCCTTGTGGCCCTTCTCTGGACTTGTTCTAACTGGTCAAATTTCTTTTTCACCTTCAAATAATCTTCTCCACCCACAGAACTGCTGCCATCCCACCTCGCTGAGGGCAGTTTTAGCAACTAAAATGACATTTAATGAAGGGTTGTCTGCGTTCTGATCAGAGATACCACCAAAAAACCTGTGTTGTGTCCTCCCAGTTGTGTTTAAAGTGGGAAAAGTGTCTGAACTACCACGGAACACCACGTGTCCTCTTCCCAACTCTACAATTCCTGCTCAGGAAAAGGGACAGAAGCAAAAAACAAAGTCCCACCAACTCTTTAATTTCCCACCCCGAGGAATAATTCAATCTTTGCAGTAAGGTCACTCCAGGGATTGGTGCTGCTTCATCTCCTCACCTTTAGTGGAAACAGTGGCCAAACCAAACCTGCCAAAGGGAAACAAGAGCTCAAGTCAGGGACACGGAGAGAGGTGAGGTCAGTCAGTACCTGGCTCAACTCTGAACACGTGAACTCTTCCTTCAAATACTTTTATTTCAATGAGTGTACTTGAGTCAAACTGGTTTGAGGGCAAGATTAACTGGAACACACTATTATTGGCTGATGTAATTACTGCGGCTGCTCCTGCACTGACTCTGCACACAGCAATTCCCCACTTTCTCCATAAAACCAGCCTCAAAGTCCAGAAAACCACTTGGATCACCTGCAATTCCTCATTTTCCCCTTTCATTGCCTTGTCTTTCCAGAATAACTGTGAGAACTACCACAAATTTCCCTTCTATTTTAGCCCAAGCAGCCATCAAGCATCCATCCATGACCAGAGACAGCCCAAATTTGAGATGGGGGGGTCTCCTGCAGCAGCAGCTCCCCATGGGTGTGACCCAGCACATGTCTGCAAACCCCCCAGTAAACCTGCCCACTGTCTCTTCAGACTGGGGAGGAACCTCAGTGCTGGTCCCACCACCAAAACACAGCACAGAACCACGGTCACCTCACACCAACCCAACCCACTGCTGGTAGATGTGCCCGGAGAGGTCTTCTCCTGAGCAAAGAAGAGGGGAGAAGGTTCCAAACACAGACTCACCGAGCTGCCCGTGCTGCCTTCTTGCTCTCCAGGCTCACGGGCACGTTGAAGCGTTCAGCTCTCTTCTGCATTCGCTGGAGAAGGGAGAGAAAGGAACCAAAGTGAGGAAAAAGCAAGAGTTTGAAAGGAGGTTCTGCAGATGGAGAGAGGAACACAAGCTCAACACACAGTGGGTGAAGGCTCCGACATGCCCTGGAGTGTGTGGTGTGGGAAGAGAATAAACCCACCCCAGATCTGCAGGTGAAGGGAGAGAAGCTGCAGGCACCTTCCCTTGGTTTGTGCCATCCAAGAAGCCACCCCGCAGCCTCCAGGACGTACGCTTGACCAAGAGTTCTCATGGTTCTGATAAAAAACCTGCTATAAGTGTTTGTGGCCAGGTTGGATGAGGCTTTGAGCAACCTGGTCTAGTGGAAAGTGTCCCTGCTGATGGCAGGGGGGTTGGGACTGGATGAGCTTTAAGGTCCCTCCCAACCCAAACCAGTCTGTGATCTCTGATTCTATGATTCAAGGTACACCACGCTCCGCTGCGCTCTGAGGAAAAGAGACACCACAAGGGACCAGGACCAGGGGGTGACAGTGACCAGGTGGGTATTTTAAGATGACACAAGGCTGTGGCTGTGCTGGAGGTCCTTGTGCCAGCACACAGGGAAGGAGCAGCACTCCTGGCAGGGAATTCAAGGGATCAGCTCCCAACTTCCCTCCTGGAGACACAGAACAAGCGGTCAGCACAACTGGCTTCGGCTGATCTACAAGAGAGACAAACAAGATTTCCTCTTCCCCACCCTGAAACAAAGAAATATGGTAGAAAAGGGGATGAAGGGGGTGGGGGGGGTGTTTGTTTTCAGGGAAGTTATTTATTTGGCACAAGCCTTTTCACAAGAGATCGACACTATCCACGTGGCTCAGCCTGGTGAGCTGAGTTTGTTGTTAGTGGAGCAATTCAAGATGAAATTCAGCTGTGAAAGGACTCAGGTCACTGCTCTCACTGCAGCCACAACTCACCTGGATTCCAGCATGGAAAAGTTTGGGAATATTGGAAGTGTAAAGCTTGTACCTATGGGGTATTAAATCCCCTTTCAAAGCTTAAGGGAAATATTTAAACATTTGATGATGACACAAGGGTTTAAAAATGCGTTTGGTGGTTTGAAAGGTTAGAGAAACAGAGATTATTTTCATGGAAATATTGACTTGAGCCAAAAGCACAGTGAGGAGCATCCTAAACACGTGCAGCAAAACATAAATGTTTAGAAAAGATGGAGTAGGAAGGTTGCTCCTAATGGTGTCAGCACCGTGGAACTTCTACTCAACTGAGGAGAAACAATAAAGAGAGAAAAATTTATCACTCAGGTCAAAAGTATGTTTTCTCCTCACTTTTTGAGCTCATCTGTATCTCTGGCATCTGTTCCAGCCCAAATTAACACCCTCCAGCATTCAATTAAGTATTGTATGAGAAAATAATTCCCTCTCCGACATAATTTTGCAGAGACCTGACTCACATTCAATCAAAGAGAGAAAAAAAAAGTGGATTTCCTGCAATTTGGGCAGAATTTGGAGGAAAAACAAAGGGCAAGAGCATAACTTGAGGAATTTGACTTAACGAGCTCTGTAATCAGCTCCACAGCCCCACATGACGGGGGCCACGGTGCCTTCAGCAACACTTCCAGCTCCCATCAGGTACCGTGTGTTTTCTCCTCATTATTCCCTCCCCCCGAGGTCATAATCCTCCCGCTTGCGACACGGGCCCTGGTTGCTGTGGAAATATTCGTGTCCCAAAAAAAAAACCCAGGAGATTAAAAAACTCTCCTCGAGTTCGTGGTGAACAGCAGGGAGAGAAGAATTGTTGTTTTCACAGTGATTTCTTTCTTATAAAACACCAGCAAAAGAAAAGGGGATTAAAGAACCACAAGCAGATTCCTGAAACTCTCTAAAGTTTCACTAAGTTTTCCCAGAGGGATCGTCAGCTTCTGAGTGTGTTTGTTTTAAATAAACCCCATCAATGTTTAGTGACAAAGTGAAGGAAGATCAAGATGAGATGATCTCTGAGCTTCCTATCGGTTCCCTCCCAACCCAGCACTCCCTGAAGTGTCTCCTCAAACAAAGCTTTGTAGTTTTACACGTCCTGAGGGATGTGGATGTGCCAGGGCATCGGAATTTCTCATGTTCACAACAGCAGGAAACACAAAATTTATACACCAGGGTTGTTAACAGAGATGGTTCAGGTTTTATCACCCAGAGCAGAGGATGCTGGGGGGGTAAAGTCCATCTCTAAGGTGGAAAGACACCCCAGAAATTGCTCAGCTCCTCGCTGCTGAGCTGGAAATACTGAGGTAGAGTCAAGTGGTGGTTGGTGGTGGAAAGAAACAGCAGCAAGGAGAGAGGTGTGAATGGTGAACGAGAGGAATGTTCTTTGAGATCCAGCCATGAAACATGCTGTGGGGTCACCACCCTGCCAGGTGACTCCCCAAGCCAGGAAATCAGTCATTAAATGGAAAAAAATCAAGGAAAAAAATGAAGCAGGTTTATAATGGAAACACTGACACAGGCCTGGGGAACACAGAAGACTCGGGGTGAAGCGAATAAAGGGAGTGACCCCTCAGAGGAAGAAGGAGCAGAAGGAACCTCACCTCCATCTGTGATATCTCTGATGTTATTTTCACCACCTTCTTCTCAGTAATCCTGGAGGAAAGAGAGAAATCAATGAGAACAGCTCCTGTGAGTTCACAACACCCCGGGGGGAGAGGTGTTGGGGTTCTCCTCCCAACCACCCAGCTCTGGTAACATCACCACATCCAAACCAAGGGTCTGTTCTCAAAACCAGCACAACCACAAACCAGTGTCCCCCTGAGCAGGGCAAGTTTAGAGCCAGACCATGAGTTGTGACACCTCTGACACTTAAACCCCAAATCCAGGGGGTTTTAGGGGCAGGAAACACCTGACCCAGCAAAGGGGCAACCTGAGCAGCACCTTGAGCGCTCCCCAATTCCTTGGGCAGTGACAGGAAGGAATCCCAGACTGGTTTGGGTTGGAAGGGACCTGAAAGCTCTTCCAGTCCCAACCCCCCTGCCAGCAGCAGGGACACCTTCCACTAGACCAGGTTGCTCAAAGCCTCATCCAACCTGGCCTTCAACACTTCCAGGGAGGAGCAGCCACAGCTTCTCTGGGCAACCTGGGACACTGTCTCACCACCCTCACACCAAACAATTTCTTCCTCACATCTCAGCTCCATCTCCCCTCTGCCACTTTCAAGCCATCACCCCTTGTTCTCTCCCTCCCTGCCCTTGGCCAAAGTCCCTCCCCAGCTTCCTGGAGCCCCTTCAGGTACTGGGAGGCCACTGGAAGTTCTCCCCGGAGCCTTCTCTTCTCCAGGCTGAACAGCCCCAACTCTCTCAGCCTGTCCTCACAGCAGAGCTGCTCCAGCCCTCGCATCATCCTCGTGGCCTCCTCTGCACTGGCTCCAGTAGCTCCATGTCCTTGTGCTGTTGGTGGCCCCAGCACTGGAGGCAGCACTGCAGGTGGGGTCTGAGGAGAGCAGAGCAGAGGGGCAGAATCCCCTCCCTCCACCTGCTGCCCACGCTGCTCTGGGTGCAGCCCAGGACACGGTTATTGGCTCTGTGCTGCCAGCACAAGGAAGGTGGAACAGACACGAGAACCAGCCAGGCTCTCACCCACCCTCAACACCAGTTTGGAGGAATAATTAACTGTGTTTAAAGCCAAAAAAAAAAGTTCTCCAGTTTTACCAGGACGAGTCTCAAAACACCAAGTTGATAATCCAGCCAGAGGCCACAAACCTACGCACCCCAAAACACCACCCTGCCCACCTTAAAGCTCTTACAGCTCCACTCAGCTCTTGTTAGAAGCCCAAAGCCTCGTCTACGAGCCCCCCTCTCCCCCTCCCTGAAGAGCTTTATTCCTTTATGGCCCTTAAATACAAAGGCTTGTTGTGTTCTAGTTCATGGGACAGCCCCAGGCAACTTTCCCCAGGTCAGCAGCAGCAGCAGCACCCCGAGCCCAGGGGTGGCTCCATTTCAAGCACCACACTTCCTGAACAATGCAGAGCTAACAACAGGACCTGGGGGGGCAAAGAAGGGGGGGGGGGGAAGAAAAGACCAAATGAAAAATATAATGGAGTGGGCGTGCTGCAAAGTTGATGCTCTGAAAACAGAGCTGAAAAAAGAGAGGAAAGGGGAAGGGGGAGGGAAACAAAAGAGGAAAAGACAAAGTTCGGAAGTTCCCAGGAG